ATGCTCAAATTAATGAAAAAGCTCGAACAAAATTGAAAAGGGGGCCGCAGTGGAGACCCTGTTTTGATGGCTTCCTGGGCGACCGCCCAAGTCGCCCACCCCTGGCCGGCCTTGCTTACGATTCTGCTTATTAAAGGCCCTCTTGTGATTAGAGCCGTATATTGGGAGACTTTGGGGGAGGAGCCGGTGAGAGCCGGGGTGGAGCGGTGAAAGCGCCGCCACCGCCAGCACCGCGTCTTCCCCCGTGATGATCCTCCTGAGTAAAATGAAGTCCAGATGACATTGAAGGAGCCGCGAACCGCGGCCCAGGTATTTCTTTTTTTTTTTTTGTTTCTGCATGGGGCTGAAATTACACGAATGGGTAAGTGTGACAGATTGGTGGAAATAGGGAGTTGCAAAGTCGTGAGTGCGTTTACTGAGCCAGAGAAAGTGACATTGACGAGAAAAGTTTTCTGAAACATGAGCCGAAACTGCGAACATGGGGTGCGCGTTCTGGCTCAGGGTCAAAATTGCCACGCAGTCGTGTCCATGGTTTGAACCGACCTCTCAGTCGTTGCCGCGACGGTGACTGAAATCAGAAGAGACCGGATTCTGAATGTTGCTGTGACGACAACGTCACGTGCGTTGCGCTTTCAGTGACGAAGAGAGGAAAATTTCAACTCAAAACGTGCTGAAATAAGATAATTGAATACATCCTTCTCTAGAAATTGTGATTAGAGGGTATTTGTTAAGCTCGTTGCCTCCGCTAGGGGAACATTGGTGGCTGGTCAGAAGAGCTGTCAATCAACGCACCCAAGGCCATAGAAATAATTTCGGCCTACGACATGCTCTTGTTTTCGCCCTATTCTTACCAATGAATGGTCCAACTCTCTACATATATGGCTCTGCTTGGGATGACACACTGGCGACTCTCTCGAATAATACACTGGGCTTTTTTTTTTTGTCCTTATTCGAACATGATTCTTTCTTTCTTGGTTTGAAAATCTTTTGAATAATTTATAGAGGACCATTTATCAGATGTAGCACGCACATTTGATCTCACAAATACCGTACAATCTTCTGTCCAGTGAAGTGCAGTTCGAGGGTCAGCTCACAGATGGTGTCAGCGGCCAGTCTGTGAGCCCTCGGATTTGCACGCTTCTCCCCTCGGAAGATATTTCAAGAATTTGGTCCTGAGGAAACGAAAGTGTTTTTTTTTTTATTTTTAATCGTCTGATTGACCCACGCGTAACAAAAAAAAAAAAAAAAATTTTACGCGAAAAAAAAATTTAAAGAGCAATATTGATGGCGACAGATTTATTTGAAATTCTGAGCGCAAAGTCCATGACGTCACGGAATGGTCATTCGCTCAACGAAATGGTTATTCGCTCTTTCAACCCCAACTTGAAGGCGAGGCAGATCCACCTCTCCTCCACGCGCCCCAAATGCCGAGAGAGACAAGTGGAAAGGAGGTGACTATTCCTACAAAATCACGTCTCCCGCCGTCAATATTGCTTTAAAAAATATTTTCGAGTAAAATTACTTTTTTGGCACGCGTGTCCCACCCAAACTGTTAAAAAATATTCTTTTTTAGGGGTCCTTTAAGAAAATCTATGACTGTCTTCGTGAGACGTTCGCGCGCTTTGGCTTCTCCGTAACGTCATTACAAACAACACTTCTAATATTTGTTAGCAAGGTGTCCGTGGATGTCTACGGGGCACTATATTGTTATGACCCAAACGAACTTCGCCGTGCCATACACAGGCAAACATCACAGTAATGGCCCGTTCACACACTTGCGACTGCTTAGGTCTGTGTTCCTTAAAACCTCTTCAAATTACGGGGGTGCACTAGAGAACCCGCTGGCGCCATCTATGCGTTGGCTTGTTCACTATTTGCGAGATTAAATATACCTATGAGATATAGTGGATATTGTCAAACCTTTTTCGAACCAAAAAAACTAAGAATGATGCGCGAAAAAATAGGAAATATACGAGACTGCCAAGTGTTTGACGGATAAGTGGCGCCAGTGTCTTCTCTCGTCGGAAGAGATCAGAAGAGGTTTCAAAGCAGACGGTCCAAAATAGTCGCTAGCGCGTGAACAGGCCTTTACAATCAACTGTAGCCTGAAGATTAGTGCTCGTAGCAGACACAGAGCGACACAAAGGCTGAGACGCGAAACTTGCGGAAATGGCCTTCGCTACCGGCGCGACAACTAACCTGCCCACGGGTTTTACCCCGGCTCAACTAAACTGTGGGAAAGAGCTCGCCTTTCCCCTGGGAAGTGGTTTTCTTAGCACAGCTCCAGCAAGCCTGCAGCGCACAACTACGCAGTTCACTGAAGATCTCGGAAAACGCTTCATAGAGAACTTGCGAGAAGCTCGGGAAAGTATTGACCTCTCAAGACTGAAGCAGGCCGACCAGTACAACAAGGAAAAGCGAAATCTGCAGCTCAAGGTAGGAGATCTCGTGCTGAGGTGAACTCATCCGCTGAGTGATGATGCCAGAGCTTCAACTGTCCTGCGTGCAGTACAGGCGAAGGCAACGCCAGGTGAGGGGAGAAAAGGCAAACACTTCAAAGGCAGAAGAGGAGAGAAACCCCCTCTTCCTAGCTCACTGACGTTCCTCTTTCTCCCCTCGCCCTCCATTGCCCTCCTCTCCCGCCTTCCTTGTGTTCGCCCTTTCTCTCTTCGCCTGGCGTTGCCTTCGCCTGCACTGCACACAACCAGTGACTCGGAATATAGCCAAAAAGGTGGGAGGGCCCCTACAGCTTTAGCGAGAAGTTTTCCAATCTGGTCTTACGAGCTGATGCAGTGCGAAGCTTGTGAAGTGTGCGGATTCATTTATGTCGCCGACATTTTAGTTTTCTTATAAATAGGAAATACTTTATAGTTTCTTATGAACCCTAGGAGGTTCCAAACGTAAAGGAACCTCTCCGAAGCCATCACACCTCCCCAGCTACGACCTTCGACGGAAGTAAAAAGAGAGAGGAAGACTCATACCATTTTCATGTTCTGTTTGGTTTTTTGAAGGGGAGGAACGAGTAACCTTGTCACACATCACATTTGGGCACACGTCGTTCTTGGGTTCGGCCACTTGTTTTTGCTGTGCCGTGGCCTCAATTAAGTTTCCCTGTCTTAGTAGCAACGCGACAGCTATATAAGTGCAGCAGCTGGGACGCAGCCCCTATCGTCGGACCCGCGTCCGCCCATCTGCAAGGACTCGGCCCTCGGAGGCCCAGGAGGAGGGCTACCTCAAGGCGTCCCAAGTTTATTTGTTGTCTTCAAGTGTGGGTACCCTGGTGGCAAAAAACATTCGGCCGGGTTTTTAAACCCTCTCTGGCCATCTCCACCGCGGGGTGGCGCTTAGCCGCTGATGAAATGCCGGCGCAGTATGTGCGACAAGTCGTGTGGGGTCGCGGGTGAACCAGTGTATTGCATCATTCTCTGACCGGGTAGCAGCCAAGGAAACCCAAACAAGTTGTAGGCGCTTAGGATGCAAGAGCAAAATATTTAAGCGAGCACACAAAAAAAACATTAAATGTTGTATATCAGATCTAGAGCCCGTTTGTTTTAAGGAGTTTTTAAGAATTATATTTTTATTTTGGGGTTAAATATTTGGAAAACCAGTGGCGGTATATAAAAATTTGAGGTGTGCGTTTGGGTAGAAGAATGCCTATCGCGTCGTCTTTAAGAGCTGAAGTAAACACTTCCGTGGCCAAATCAGCACGGTATATTGCAAAGACATCGCTTCAATTATAGTTACGAATTATCTACACACTCTCAAATAATCGGGTTTAGGGCAACAATACGCGTCGAACCTGTGCGATAAGCGCAACTTGCTTGGGATATCTATACCTGGACCAGAAAAGCTAGATGATACATATCCAGCCTTCCTAAAGAAATAAAACAATAAAATGACATCAATTCAAATATTTGAGAAAACTAAGAACATTGCCTGCGCTTTTTCCGAAACTATTAAGTTGATTCATCTCACAAAACTGTATAAATCACAGCAACCGAGCTGCCTTATTTGACGTATTTAAATTGCTGCTTTTTAAAACTCACAATGAGCAATCTATTCGCGGAAGGTTAAACTCTTCACATTTGAACTTTGACCTATCGAAATTGATTTGTTTTTCAAGCGTCTGTAAATGCTCAAAAGAGATTACCTGATCGTAGAGTGGTGGATAGTAGTAGTTTCCAATAATGTATTCGAAGTCATAGGCTGTCTAATACCCGTGCCACACGGGCAACTCGGATGCCATGTACAACAAATGACATTTGTGTGATCGGCGAATCAACTCGCAATCTGTCGCGCGTGGAATGCGCCACGCCCGGAGTGTCGCGCGCTGATTGGCCGTCCGCTCAAATGTCATTCGTTGTAAATGGAATTCGAGTTGCCCGTGTGGCACGGGAATTAATTTCGACCCATCACATTTTTGAACAGGATTCCAGGTCGAAACTTCGACACGACAGGAAAAGAAGAGTCGAGCACAATTGAAACGCCACCCCTTTTCCACCGTGCTATTATAATCTATCTCACGGCGGTATACATTATATTTATGAATAAAATAATTCGAGTGGGGAATACCCTTTGCTGAGCCGCGATTCCGAAAAACAAATAATGTCAAAGCTGGTAGATATAATATTTTACACACATGGAAGTATGCTCATATTACAATAAAAGTAACAAATAACTAAAGAAACTTCGAATATTTCGTAATTACGCTACATTACGATTATTACTTCCACGGAAGTGCAAACATGGCGTAATTACGAGTAGCGAGTTACGAGTAAACCGCCAGTGACACCGGATTCCTTCCCACGTCATACAGCGGTTTGCAGCAGCCGGCACTGAGTGACATTTCGACCAGGTCGCTGAAAAGAAAGGTAAGACAAGGAAGCAAATGGCAGCGACGCACACACTGCTAAATGTTTCGACGCCTGACGTAAGGTGAGAGGTAAGGGCAGGCATACGACCTCGCACGCGCCCTTAGAAAAGCCCAGAAAAAGGCCGGAAGCCAGCAGTCCGTCCACATCAACGTCGAAAGGCTTCGGTCAGAAACTGTCTGCGGGAAGTACGTTGCAGTCAGACTTATCACGGTCATCGACACCCGGAACATGAAGAGCTTCACGCTGTGCCTATTTGTCGGCTTATTGCTGATAGTTGCCTGGAGCAGGTAAAGGCTTTCGTTTACTTTCCCAACGCCTCTACACTTTCAGAAATAGAGGGCGCACACGGGTACACCCCTTGTTTGTCCCATATATAACACCCCTAAACTACATTTCGACGTTCTGTTCACCCACGGCGAGCTGGCGATACCAACTTTCACAAGCGGCTTGATAGTCGAGTGATACAACTTATTAAAAAAGCTAATGTACAACTTAAAGGCTACAGTAACACAATAAAGGTTTTTTTGGCCCTGCTGCAAAACCTCAGTGATTTTTTTTTGTAGTCTTTTATACGCACATTAGTTATTTAGTACGTTATATCGAGCCGCTCGTAAAAGTTGGTATCGCCAGCTCGACGCCAGTGGACAGAACGACTAAATGGAGTTTTGAAGTGTTACGTTCGGGACAAGGGGTGTACCCTTGTACACTCCTATTACCCAGAGTGTATGTGCGGCTCTATATCGGGAACCGACCCCCGAAACATTCCTGTTCTTACTCTACAGCGAAATCTTGAAATTTCGCGTGTCAAAAACCAGCGAAATGACATATATTTTTTATCTCTACTTTGGGTGGCTTTTTTACGGTAGCATTTGTTCAATAGGGAATTGCCGTATACATCCACAAAGACTCCCGATTCTACACTGCACGGTGCTGGGCTAGAAACACAGATCATTGATTGGCCGTTAATTATTCGAGCCAATGAGATGGCCAATCCGAATCTCAATCAAACGGACAAAATAGGTTTGGCAGAAAGCCGTCGATCCGTTTTGCCGGGAAGCCCGCACTGTCGTTGGAGCATAACACTGATGGCAGCTCTCGTTACTGGTCCGAATGAAGGCAAGCCAATCTCCTGCGTGTCGAGTGCATCGCGGTGCAGTGCGCATTCAAGCCCATCCACTGAGAGTCCACCTACGAGTGCGGTGTGGGCGCGCGTCGCTTCGAGTCTGCAAGCTCCAGCAGCACCGAGCTGGCCACCAGCCCGAGGTCCACATGTGCGCGTCGACGTGTGTCTCTCCGCTGGGCGACGTCTTGCGAGCATTCCTCTTTGTGCGCAGATGTGCACGTTACTTTTTCACGTGTTCGTGTGTGTTGCCCCTTGGCGCGCCTAGACGTTCAGCACGTACTGTGATACCGTTGGCAGACTGGTACCAGGGTGGTAATCCCGGGAGCAGAATGCGACAAATCGTAAGTGCCGTCATCGGTGACCCCGAGAGAAAGAACGACGAGCTGACGGCGAATTCCACCGGTCGTTATGAAGCCCGCCGGGATCCGTAGACGAGATCGGAGACGGAGCACGCGATCCGAAAGCAGTCGCTCCGCCTCCGGAACCCCAGTGGAACATGACGGAGTCCTCCGGGATCGGCGGATGCTTCCCCGTCATTCACCTTCCCAGGAATCCCCTTCCCGCGGTCCCGAATTTCGAAGCCCATGTTTTTGCAACCGCGGCGCTTATAACACGTGTTCAACTAAGCAGCAAAATTAATCATGATGCGAAAGATGTGTGTCAGTAAGCGATGTCCATTAGCGTAGCTCACTTGCCCTTGCATAGGAATACCCGTGAACGGTGTCCAAGCACGCCCCCATTTTCGGCCTCCTTTTGCGGAGGTCCGCAAAGTCAGTCGACTTCATACGGGACATACAAGCAATCCTCGTCGCCGTGCTAGTCGAGCCGCTGCTGCTGAAGGAGCTGCTCGAGCAACTTGACGACCAACTGTCACCAAGCAGCAGCAGCAGTAAAGCGGGCGGCACTTCGCGAGCGGCCATTGCGAATTCTTTCGAGGCGAGGTGCCCGGCGAAAAAGGCTCGTGGCTTCCAGTCGAATCCGCCGAAATCGGTGGAGCGACTTTTCTCAAATCCGGATGGAGATCTGGAATGGGAGCTGACCCAAGTTCGACACGTCCGTTTCGATCCCGATGGCGTTCTGAAATAGGCTCGCTCCAGAAAAGTCGATCCCGGTGCGTTCCAAACCGACCAGTGAAATCCGCCATTATAGTCTCGCTTTTGCACCGCGGTAGCTACCAGAGTCGCTACGTAATAATTTAAAGAACACTGTTTTTTACAAACTCTAGCCACCCATTTGGCCTCTTAGAGTGACGGGCTGTAGAGCTCCAATTCAACTATGCCAGCTAAAAATAACAGTTAAAAGGAAGTTAGAAACGTTTAGTTAATTAAGCGGCTGATTTCTTATTTAGACACGTGCCCACACGTCTGCCGCGATCGATATTCTCCAAGAATATTTGTTTTTTTATATTTACGTTTTTTTTTCATTTTTTTTTGTTGAATATTTACTGCCTTAGAAAAACCACCCAGTGCACCTAGTCGTGTGTGCTCGAAGGCTTTCGAAAATTCTTAAAAATAGGGTGATTAAGAAAAAAAAACAAAAAAAACTGCTCTTTCCGGGTACAAGCTGCCAGCACGGCGCTCGATAAGGATTAAACGAGACAAACATACTAATAAGCCATAGTTAACTGGCTGGGGAGCAGCTTGCTGAAGAGACTTTTTCTGCTCGTTCGCCGTCATTCGCCGAAGTTTTTTTTTTTTTTTTTAAACATGGTTTAAACGGTCGTAGTTGCCTTTGAGAACACGTGGATATTTTTAGGAAAGCGGAGCATCGCAAGAAAAAGGAACAACTCGTTGAACGCAAGTCTCGCCGGTCTCGCGGCGCGATCAAAGCTTTCATTGGCACGTCGAAATGCTTCGTCTCTGTGCCTTCGTCCACCTAGATACCTATCAAGAATCGACGCCGTGGCAAAGTTTTGAAGGCGTGTCTCGCGTAGATGTCTTTGCATCTTATATCGGTCACACAGCTAGCTGTTCCGGCTAGTTACTATCAATAGAGGGGGTGGGGGATTTGTTCGATTGCTCCTATGAACTACTAACCATGGCTAAGTTCAAAATCTACTCTAATGGATCACAGGACAGCGTAAACAAAGCAATGCTGCGGAGCAAGGTACATTTTCGAACGCAAAAGTATGAATGGCGAGATCGAAAATATTTGAAACGCGGCCCATATGGTCGTGTGCAATTTGCGGCCGTCGCAGCCGCCGTAGGCCAACCCACCTCCCCCTCTTCCGTCGCCACTGGGTCAAGCTCGTTTTTGGACCGCGAGTGCCGCAGGTTTAGTCATCAGAGTAAAGTAAAACGCTGCTCCAGGGGCACATACGTCTTCACTCACGTTGCACTCACAAAGCACATCCACACGGCGTTGATTCTTGATCGGTATCCGAGTATGCGAAGGCACGGACGCAGCGCTTCGGCGTGCCATGGAAGCTTTGATCACTCCACGAGACCTGCTAGACTTGCATTCGACGAGTTCCGTATTTTTCCTGCGGTGCTGCGCTTTCGTAAAAATTTTCATATGTTCTCAGAGAAAGCTACGACCGTATACAAAATGTTTAAAAAAAAAAAACTTCTTTGGCGAATGACGGCGACCGAGCAGAAAACGTGTTTTCGGCGCGCTGCCGCAGTACCTCTGCAACGCTCCAGAAGGTGCTTTCCTCCGCCTTGTGATGGACGCGAGGCGGTAGCTCCGTGCCTCGGCCAGAGGCAAGCGGGCTCAAGACGCAAAGATGCGCTAAAAAAAACAACAAAAAAACAACAACAAAGCTTTTAAACGTTTTTAGATTTAGCGTTTTTTAATGCCATAAAATGCTGTCTTTGCTGTGTTTCTAAAACGATTTAATTTACTGGTTTTTGATGATGCTTGGCAAGTTTCTAAATGGACTAATATGTTTATTTTCACTAAATAAAAGGCTAATTGGAAAATTCTGGGTAATTATGTACGTAATTAGTGAGCGTTTTCCAATACTTGACGTCCAATCTGAGTGGCAGTTTCTTCACGGAAAGGGTTTCTTTTTTTTATCAACCATCTTATTTTTAGGAATTTTTGAAAGACTACGGTTAAAAACTGGGTATAGAGGTATTTCATCAACGACTAAAGACAATTTACAAAAAGGGCATATAAAAGACACCCTTCCGGTATAATGTAATCTAGCGGAACAGACTTCGAGAGTGAGGTGATAATTGGAGAATTGAGTACCCAAACTTCAGTAATGAACTCTTAAAACGTTCGCCTCAGCTGGCATATTCCAATTATAAATCTGTTGATAATGCAATTAATGCAAAGGTGCAAGCGAGCTGAACAAGAATAACGATAATAATCCTTGCAGAAGGGAAACAAGGGGTACAAAGGACAATCACAAATCTCCGAACACAGCTAGGCCCCCCTCCAGGAATTAACATCGTTAGGGATCGATTAATTTGATAGATTTTTTTAAAGGATAATAGTTACATAGATCTTTAGTTTGTCCCTGGGGCTCATTAGATAAATAGTTGGCACGACGATCTGGATTGTCAACTAGAATCTCTTGATTAACTTATTATTTGAAGGTTGAATAGGTCATGTTGTAATTGCAGTTTGGAAAGCAGACATTATCAGATACTAAATCCATTAAACGTCCATCCGTGAAAAGGCGTTGCGCTCTGAAATATCCGTCAATCAGATTTGTCGTTTTCGTCTCCCGATTGCAAAACTGAACCCAGGAAGATTGCCGGAAGAACGACGAAGTCGATTCGGTCGCGTCGCCACTATCTTGGCATCGCGTCTTCGGTGGATGCGTTGACGGCACGCTGCGAGGCTGGTGACCAGTTGGCAGAAACGTCACTCTTCTGCGCATGAGCGTGAGCGGGGCTCGTAGCACCGAGCTTCGAAATCCGGCAACAAAAATACAAACACTGATTTATTCATGTCTCTAAGCAAGTTTCATTTTCGCACAATCTTTTCATTTGTTTAGCCTCAAATAGTGTGCTTTCAATATTGCAATCCCCACAATGACCCAACAAACTATTCGTTAAAACGGTAATGAACAGAAGTTTAGTTAAGTATCCTACTGATCATGATGATTGACTCCCTTCTAATATCTGCTCAGGCCAATATACCCGCAGCGAGGACGCTATCCATGTACCCATCATGCCTTTAAGAAACATTTGTTCGAATTAGTAGCAAACACCCTGTGTGAAAATTCTGACGCATGAAGTTTCAGAAAAAAAAATATCTTTAATGGAGCAAAGCGTTTTCGACATGCCACGAAGGGCTTGCGCAGCAGAACCCAGGGATCCTGTGCTTAATCCCCGCCCCTGACCGTTTCGATCTGAATGAGCATCGTACCGGCGTTTTGTCGTGTATCACTACTGCGTGGTGCACGTTAAAGACTCCAGGCTAGAGGTGATATACTGCACTGGCTTTCATGTACAGCAGAGACACCACACGTCTAGCGGGGGGACTCATTTACCGTTGTCTAAGCATACACACAATAAAGTTGTGTGTATGCTTCGACAACGGTTTTCTTCGGAGTTGGGGAAATTGCATCGCGCCCGAGTCTTTTATCGAGAGGAAAAAGCGGTCTGTTTTGTTCGCACGATTGTCTGACGATGGCATTGCAGCTTCAGCTATATGACCACGTCGCTTCTTCTCGATGAACTACCATTCGATTGCCGAGTCACTCGCGTTTCCCTTTCGGATGTTTTAGCCCTGCAGTTTGTTAGGTTCTGACAACATTAGGTCGGCTAAGACCACGCCTTTTTCCTGCCTTCGCCTCCAGAGCAGCCAAACTTTTGCTGATGCCAGCTGTAGTATGTAAAAGCATATCCTGACAAATACGGCTTCATTAACCTGATCTGGATTATGTCAAGTCCTAGCATTAAGTAATGAAGGTCTAAGGGCTCCTTGCAGCTTCAGTGCTTTTTGACTGAGCGTAGCAGCGAATGCAACATTAGAGCGTCTCTATAGCAGACTACATATTGCGCCACATCTGACATATGCACAAAACAGCGTGCTGCAAACAAGATATGTAGCAAAAATTAGCATTTGCCACGTTTGCGGTATTCTCAAAAGATTACAAACAGCTTCCGAATAACGGAAGTAAGTTATATATGCGAAACTTTGAATATTTTCGCACACACTTTTCGATAAAACCCACACTTTGTGTTTATTGCGAGTACCGACAACCAATGTTTTGCCAACCCGCGAGACACGTGCCACGAGTGAGTGCTCCGTCGCCATTTGCTTCCAAGAGCCGCTCTTTACACTTGAAGATTCATTCATTCATTCATTCATTCATTCATTCATTCATTCATTCATTTATTGTACCCTTATATCGCCCCCTCAGGGGGCCTTACATAAGGGGCAACAAACAGCAATATATATTCTCTCACAAAAAAAAAAAAAAAAAAAAAAAAAAAAACGCAGGCGCGCGGCGAGCGGCGCGGGCGCGGATTTTGGAATCTGGAGCGAAATCCACTCGTCGCTGGCGGAAAATCTGGATATGGGCCCGGACCGATCCAGATTTTTCGCCAGCGACGACCGGATTTCACCAGCCGGCTGCAAAACCCTCTCGCCGCTGGCGCGGATCCGCCCGTGAATTGGCAAGTGTAAATGCACCAGAGCTGCGCCGCCACCTGCTTCCAAGTACCGCACGAGGTGCGTGCCTCGTGCACGGGCGCATTTGAGGCTATCTGTGAAACCAACAAAACGCACGAAGGGGCTTTAGCCGTTGGTAGATTAACTAAGCGGGGCAGTTCCTCTAGGTGTTGTAATCAGAAATATTCGACATATTTTATAAATATCGACACTTTGAGCGAAAGCCATTGTAGTATGTCCTTTACAATTGTGTGTCCTTTATATTTGTATGTGCAATATATGACTCATGATGCTGTAAAGGGTTACGAAAAACATGGCAGTCACATTTAAAGGTCAACGTTTAACATTAGTGAGACGAATAATGGGAGAAAGTGAACGTAGAAATAAAACGCAAAGGTGAGCTTTCTCAGAGATAAATGCGAAACAGGAGTAAAAGTGACCCGACAGGGCATCACAGAATGGTTGGACACATCCATCATCATAACAAAGGCGCTTGAGCGTAAAAGTGAAGTCTCGTTGCTTGCAACTGCGACTATGACGTCAGAGGCAAATGTCGGCAGACAACTCACGGAGAAAAGAGAACACGTCGGCGCAAATTCGCACTTGCAGCGAGAGTTTCGCAATGGCTTAAGCTTGAACGTCAAGCAATGGAGAAAAATTAACGGCCGTACCGTGTCGCTCAGAGCAAACGCAATCCAACCTCGAATTGGTTTGTTCAAAATGAACTCAAATGGAAGACTCCTGCGGGAGTGGAGGCCGACGTTCCGCTGGAAGTTTCCTCAGCGGGCCACGCCTTACTCGAGAATTATGCGTTGTCTGTCTCCCAAGTGCAGCGCTCTCAGTTACTGCCACGGGCAATGGACGACTGAGCACTCAGTTCGGAGGCGAATGTCGCCCCAGACTCGGTATCTGCCTACCCCGACAAAACTAAAAAAAGAAACTTTTTTTTTTTTTTTGTAGGAGTGATGGGTTTGCCCAAGTTGGGAAGGTTTGTCGTGGTTGTTATCTTTTTGTTCCTTGAGGGGGCATTTCATTATCCTGTTCTGGTTGTTCCTTTGTGTGTCCTGGTGAATTGTGTCCTAGCAAAGGGCAAGTTTTGTGGTTGGCAACCTTGTAGCTGTAACTATATAAGCAGGTGAGATCGAATAAATCTTTTAGCTGCGTTTGAGACATTTTCTTCTTCCCAGTTTTCTGTCACTTCTACGCTTAAGTTTCTATTTCATACCCCGGTCTCGGGTTAAGTTGCAACATGGAGCACTAAGCCAGAGTCGTAGGTGCCCTTGTGGGGCTTGTGGCCGGAGGGGAGCTCGAGTGCGTATATGTTCAAGTGCAGAAGCATGGCCGTGGCCATTCTTAGTTGTTCCAGTCCTCTTATAGTATGCCTGTTGGAAGTGAAATTGTGGGCCTCGTGTCGGGTTTCATGTGGCTGTCAGCGTTAAGATTCTTTGTAATCTTCGTCACCACACACTTTTGTCGACGTCACGCGTGGACGGTTGGATCGTCTTGGGTATCCTGAAGTTGTGGAGGAGGCCTAAGGTTACGAAATCCGGGCTGCGGTGACCGAGTTCCGTCCCGCCACTCCGTGCCGCGCGTGTTGTCGATCACAGCCACCGGGCTCGATAGGCATACATTTGTAACCACTGGTCCTTCTTCGCGGGAACAACGATATGCAAACTATATGGTGCCTGGAACGCGTCTCCGACTGGTGAGTTTACCGCGGCCAAAAAAGTGGTCCCTCGATTTCCGCCTGATGACGTCATAGAAGTGTCATGCTGTCGCCGGTTGCGACCCTGGCGGCGTCTCAACAGTTGTGGTATGAAAGGCAGACGCCTGTTCTGCTGCAAGTCGCTCTCCACTGTGACAGTTCACGGAAGCTGTAGCAGCCGGAAGTTGGGACGCCTGGGACGCCGTGACGACAGCGACACTCGCGTTCGCTCGTGCTTTTCGCCAGCATTTCTGTGGCCAACCGCCAGGATCGCGACAGGCAACAGTATGACACCCCGGCTTCTACGACGTCATTTGTTGCCACTTTGGGACCACTTTTGATGTATGGGCGGGAGAGGACGCTAAACACACCAGTCGAAGACGCGATCCAGGCACCATAATGCAACCGCCACAACGCACTGACTTGAGTGCAAGCGCGGAAGCACAATCACTGCGGTAGCCGACAGCCAAAGATTCGCTTCAGTTAATTCGAACGAGCGCCCCCCCCCCCCCTTCCCCCTCCCCAATGTAATCAAAACGGGAAAAATTCTTACGTAAAGAACAAACCCAGCAGCCTAACATGTTTGGCGCCAGTGTTGAAATTTCTTGCTTCTACCAGCCTCGGAGAATGACAGAACGCGCTAATTCAACAACACACACGTCTTTAATTTATTCGTTCAATTTAGCGTTCTCGTAAGTTCGAGAAACTTGTCGTCTTATAATCGAGGTAGAATTTTCTACGCGCCGAACGTTCTACGCCGAATGTTCCGGAAACCCACAAGGGTACATAAGGGACTCCGCATGGCGAGCCGGAGTCAGTCTCGCCCCAGCGTTCGATCCTGCTGTTTCGCCGCCATCGACGCCTGCGACGCTAGCCTTTTTCTATTTGGTTTTGGACACAAGTTCGCCCCATTAAACGTTTAGTTTGCTTCAGTATTCGTCGTATCATCATTTGTTGTTCGCGACAATATATAGCAGATCTAGTTCTTGTTTGTCGTACTTGCCTTTCTTTTATCCCTGCTTTTTGTGCGCTCTGTTTTTCACTGTGAACCAGAAGCAGCGGACCCATTTTTAGACACCTTTAGATATAATAACACTGCGTTGAAGAGATCATATAATAACTCGCAGTACGCACAAAGATCTCATAATGACACGTGCATAACCTAACCTAAGCTAACCTCACGTCACTAAGGAACGAAAACATGCCTACGTTTTCACAGATTTTGCTTTTCTATTCAGGGAAAAAAGAACAATAAGTATATTAAGCAATAAGAAACGAGAGTGGCCAGGTGGCAAGGATGTTATTTGAAGGTCATGATCACCAAGCTAAAATCGAGTGATAGCTGTCAAAATTGTGCTTGATGTTGAACGTGCAGTGGCTGCCAAGTTTATCCTCTTTCTACACGATGTGTGCACAACCTAGTGGTTTCAGTACAGCTCCACAAATATTATTATAAATCGTATACACCATGGGATTTACGCCTAATTGTCTACCCTGTATTCCTACGCCCTAAACTAATTCGTACTGATTATGTTTCTATTGTCTTGCAGTATATCTTCGGGGGCACCTGTCCACAAGGGACCACCTCAAGAAAGGTTGAATCATGGCGATTCCAACCAAGTGGAGTCCCTGCGCACATTAGAAATCCAGACCGAACCGAAAGAAGATACTGGCGGGATTGACACAAGTACTCCGGAGGGAAAAGAAAGTGAACAGGCATCACCAATTCGGTCCAGGAATGAAGAGTCAAGCGAGGAGGCTGAAAGTGAGGAAAGCGATTCCGAAGAGGCATCAAACGAAGATAACCAAGAAAGCGAGTCTGAGGAAGAGAGTGAAGAAAGTGAGTCCGAGGAAGAGAGTGAAGCAAGTGAGTCTGAAGAAGAGAGTGAAGAAAGTGAGTCTGAAGAAGATAGTGAAGAAAGTGAGTCTGAGGAAGAGAGTGAAGAAAGTGAGTCCGAGGAAGAAAGTGAGTCTCAGGAAGAGAGTGAAGAAAGTGAGTCTAAGGAAGAGAGTGAAGAGAGTGAGTCCGAGGAAGATAGCGAAGAAAGTCAATCTGAGGAAGAGAGTGAAGAAAGTGAGTCTGAGGAAGAGAGTGAAGAAAGTGAATCTGAAGAAGAGAGCGAGTCCGAGGAAGAGAGTGAAGAAAGTGAGTCAGAGGAAGAGAGTGAAGAAAGTGAGTCCGAGGAAGAGAGTGAAGAAAGTGAGTCCGAGGAAGAAAGTGAAGAGAGTGAGGAAAGTGAGTCCGAGGAAGAGAGTGAAGAAAGTGAGTCCGAGGAAGAGAGTGAAGAGAGTGAAGAAAGTGAGTCCGAGGAAGAGAGTGAAGAGAGTGAAGAAAGTGAGTCCGAGGAAAAGAGTGAAGAAAGTGAGTCTGAGGAAGAGAGTGAAGAGAGCGAGTCTGAGGAAGAGAGTGAAGAGAGCGAGTCTGAGGAAGAGAGTGAGTCCGAGGAAGAGAGTGAAGAAAGTGAAGAGAGTGAGTCTGAGGAAGAGAGTGAGTCCGAGGAAGAGAGTGAAGAGAGTGAAGAAAGTGAGTCCGAGGAAGAGAGTGAGTCCGAGGAAGAGAGTGAAGAAAGTGAGTCTGAGGAAGAGAGCGAAGAGAGTGAGTCTGAGGAAGAGAGTGAGTCCGAGGAAGAGAGTGAAGAAAGTGAAGAGAGTGAGTCCGAGGAAGAGAGTGAAGAAAGTGAGTCTGAGGAAGAGAGTGAAGAGAGCGAGTCTGAGGAAGAGAGTGAAGAGAGCGAGTCTGAGGAAGAGAGTGAGTCCGAGGAAGAGAGTGAAGAAAGTGAAGAGAGTGAGTCTGAGGAAGAGAGTGAGTCCGAGGAAGAGAGTGAAGAGAGTGAAGAAAGTGAGTCCGAGGAAGAGAGTGAGTCCGAGGAAGAGAGTGAAGAAAGTGAGTCTGAGGAAGAGAGCGAAGAGAGTGAGTCTGAGGAAGAGAGTGAGTCCGAGGAAGAGAGTGAAGAAAGTGAAGAGAGTGAGTCCGAGGAAGAGAGTGAAGAAAGTGAGTCTGAGGAAGAGAGTGAAGAGAGCGAGTCTGAGGAAGAGAGTGAAGAGAGCGAGTCTGAGGAAGAGAGTGAGTCCGAGGAAGAGAGTGAAGAAAGTGAAGAGAGTGAGTCTGAGGAAGAGAGTGAGTCCGAGGAAGAGAGTGAAGAGAGTGAAGAAAGTGAGTCCGAGGAAGAGAGTGAGTCCGAGGAAGAGAGTGAAGAAAGTGAGTCTGAGGAAGAGAGCGAAGAGAGTGAGTCTGAGGAAGAGAGTGAGTCCGAGGAAGAGAGTGAAGAAAGTGAAGAGAGTGAGTCCGAGGAAGAGAGTGAAGAAAGTGAGTCTGAGGAAGAGAGTGAAGAAAGTGAGTCCGAGGAAGAGAGTGAGTCCGAGGAAGAGAGTGAAGAAAGTGAGTCTGAGGAAGAGAGCGAAGAGAGTGAGTCTGAGGAAGAGAGTGAGTCCGAGGAAGAGAGTGAAGAAAGTGAAGAGAGTGAGTCCGAGGAAGAGAGTGAAGAAAGTGAGTCTGAGGAAGAGAGCGAAGAGAGTGAGTCTGAGGAAGAGAGTGAGTCCGAGGAAGAGAGTGAAGAAAGTGAAGAGAGTGAGTCCGAGGAAGAGAGTGAAGAAAGTGAGTCTGAGGAAGAGAGCGAAGAGAGTGAGTCTGAGGAAGAGAGTGAGTCCGAGGAAGAGAGTGAAGAAAGTGAAGAGAGTGAGTCCGAGGAAGAGAGTGAAGAAAGTGAGTCTGAGGAAGAGAGCGAAGAGAGTGAGTCTGAGGAAGAGAGTGAGTCCGAGGAAGAGAGTGAAGAAAGTGAGTCTGAGGAAGAGAGCGAAGAGAGTGAGTCTGAGGAAGAGAGTGAGTCCGAGGAAGAGAGTGAAGAAAGTGAAGAGAGTGAGTCCGAGGAAGAGAGTGAAGAAAGTGAGTCTGAGGAAGAGAGTGAAGAAAGTGAGTCCGAGGAAGAGAGTGAGTCCGAGGAAGAGAGTGAAGAAAGTGAGTCTGAGGAAGAGAGCGAAGAGAGTGAGTCTGAGGAAGAGAGTGAGTCCGAGGAAGAGAGTGAAGAAAGTGAAGAGAGTGAGTCCGAGGAAGAGAGTGAAGAAAGTGAGTCTGAGGAAGAGAGCGAAGAGAGTGAGTCTGAGGAAGAGAGTGAGTCCGAGGAAGAGAGTGAAGAAAGTGAAGAGAGTGAGTCCGAGGAAGAGAGTGAAGAAAGTGAGTCTGAGGAAGAGAGTGAAGAAAGTGAGTCCGAGGAAGAGAGTGAGTCCGAGGAAGAGAGTGAAGAAAGTGAGTCTGAGGAAGAGAGCGAAGAGAGTGAGTCTGAGGAAGAGAGTGAGTCCGAGGAAGAGAGTGAAGAAAGTGAAGAGAGTGAGTCCGAGGAAGAGAGTGAAGAAAGTGAGTCTGAGGAAGAGAGCGAAGAGAGTGAGTCTGAGGAAGAGAGTGAGTCCGAGGAAGAGAGTGAAGAAAGTGAAGAGAGTGAGTCCGAGGAAGAGAGTGAAGAAAGTGAGTCTGAGGAAGAGAGTGAAGAAAGTGAGTCCGAGGAAGAGAGTGAGTCCGAGGAAGAGAGTGAAGAAAGTGAGTCTGAGGAAGAGAGCGAAGAGAGTGAGTCTGAGGAAGAGAGTGAGTCCGAGGAAGAGAGTGAAGAAAGTGAAGAGAGTGAGTCCGAGGAAGAGAGTGAAGAAAGTGAGTCTGAGGAAGAGAGTGAAGAAAGTGAGTCCGAGGAAGAGAGTGAGTCCGAGGAAGAGAGTGAAGAAAGTGAGTCTGAGGAAGAGAGCGAAGAGAGTGAGTCTGAGGAAGAGAGTGAGTCCGAGGAAGAGAGTGAAGAAAGTGAAGAGAGTGAGTCCGAGGAAGAGAGTGAAGAAAGTGAGTCTGAGGAAGAGAGCGAAGAGAGTGAGTCTGAGGAAGAGAGTGAGTCCGAGGAAGAGAGTGAAGAAAGTGAAGAGAGTGAGTCCGAGGAAGAGAGTGAAGAAAGTGAGTCTGAGGAAGAGAGTGAAGAAAGTGAGTCCGAGGAAGAGAGTGAGTCCGAGGAAGAGAGTGAAGAAAGTGAGTCTGAGGAAGAGAGCGAAGAGAGTGAGTCTGAGGAAGAGAGTGAGTCCGAGGAAGAGAGTGAAGAAAGTGAAGAGAGTGAGTCCGAGGAAGAGAGTGAAGAAAGTGAGTCTGAGGAAGAGAGCGAAGAGAGTGAGTCTGAGGAAGAGAGTGAGTCCGAGGAAGAGAGTGAAGAGAGTGAAGAAAGTGAGTCCGAGGAAGAGAGTGAAGAAAGCGAGTCTGAGGAAGAGAGTGAAGAAAGCGAAGAGGATTAAAGGAGCATGTGTGCTGCAATAGTTCCTGCCTAAGGGCTCGATACACGAAGAAGTGACGATTAGCATTTAATAAACAAGGCACTGAACTCCATGCAACCATGGGGACCCGCGAGCTATAATAAATTTCGTATCGCAAGCTTAAAAAACACTGTTTCAACAAGATACTAACTGTGTTGCATGATACACTTAGTCGAAATGAACCGCGACACATTTTTTAAATATGTTGCAATTATAAAAAGCAAATGGCTTCAAATTTAGCGTCTTTATACAGCGTGCACATGCACAGATTTCGCCGTACTCTATGCTTTACCTAAGCTCAAGCACCGCCAAAATGCCAGACAAACGTCAGAAAACGGCTACTGAGCTTCTGAGGTGAGCATCTGGGCCAGCGATGGATGCTCATCAAGGGTAAGGTCGCCATGAATATTTTCGTGGACACGGCGGCACTACTAGAGTCCGGTGAAAAGTTTATAAACCACGAAAAGTACAGGATTTTATTCCATTCCACTTGAAATTCGATACAGACCATGAGCGCAGCAAGTGTAAACTTCAACGGCTGTCCCGCAGGACACGGTTTGTACCGCGCACGGCAAAAAAACGTGCACGTTTTTAAAAAAAAAAACGTGAAGGTTTCGGCACGCGCGTCCATTTGCAGTAAGGACATGAACCACGTAGCCTTCCGTAAAACTTGAGGGCCTCCCCCCTCGCTCTGATTTATTCCGCTTTTTTTTTTCTTCGAGAGGTTGGGGATTGATAACAACAGCGAAGGCCTTGACGACAGCCAGCAGAGTGTGTGAGTGGCTGTATGCTACGCCATGAGCGCCCTCCAAGGCTTTGTCCAAGGACGCAAGCCAAGACTTTCCCCGATAAAAAACGTTCCAAATCAGACCGTAAGCGGAGAAAGAACCTCCGCTTACCTCCGGTAAATACTATGCACAGCACCAGCCGCGTCGTGTGTGGACAGCCCATTAAATGTGTCGCGGACCGCGGCAATATTTGCGGTGGTCCATCTCAGTGCACGCGCATCAATATTTAAAACTGACCCCGGTGCTACCTTTCTTCTCCTTTTATTGCCAAAAACATTCACTGGACGGTGAGAGGCCGAGAGCTTGCATGACACGGAGAAAGCACGGAGGGCTTCACATCACTAAATCAAATCAAATAAAATCAAGTTTATTTGTTGTCAAATTTTACATGACAACAGGGACTAGGACAAAAAGCTGCTGACGAGCAGCTTGACAAAGGTCCCAGCCCCCGTGGAGTTCCCGACAGTTTCAAACACAATTTAACGACTAAAATTTGGTAGACGACAACTACACAGTGTACAGAGACGAGTACAAACCAATGCAAAAGCCTGATTTATACAATACTAGATTTGTTGGAAACATATAGACGAAAAATACACAGGCCAGTGAAAGAAAAACTCGACTAATTATAGCAATGGCACAATCGTACATGAAATAATACATCATGTTCATAACAAAAAATATCAGCAGTATTCAAAAAATCGCATAGAAAAGTAAGTTCTTTTAATTCCCTATGTGATAGTGATTCTAAATGCCGACCCTTTCTGCACAAACAATTTAGCATGGTGGACAATCTGAAATGAAGCGTTTGATTTAGGTAATTTGTACGCGTTGGGCGAATCATCCAGAGCTCATTTTGTCTTAGGTTGCGTAGGATGATGCGATGTTTTAGGTTGGCTAGTTTAATCAAATGAACATTATTGTGCTGAAAAGCCCTGTGATACGTTGACAAAAGCTTGTAAGCATACATTTGCTCGACGGTTTTGACATTTAGGGATTTATATAGTGATTTAGTGGGATGAATAAATGGAGCTCCTGAAATTGCACGTACTGCCTACTTTTCTAATAGATGCAACTTATTCAGATTACTTTTTGTTGTGGTGCCCCATATCAGGTTACAGTAAATTAAGTGAGAACACATTAATGTATTATATATAGTTAATTTAATTCGAGTAGGAAATAAACTTTTAAATTTTGTAAGTAAGCCTACATTTTTAGATATTTTTGCTTGCACATAGTCTATGTGTGCAATCCAGCTCATATCTTGAGAAAACATCAGAACCAGAGTTTTAATACTGTCTACGAACTCAATTTCTTCATTGTTTACTGTAAGATGAGGTAGGATATTTATTTTCTTATTTTTGGGCCTAAACAAAATAGCTCTGGTCTTTTTACAGTTTAATTTTAGTTTGTTGTTAAACGTCCAGGCGGCGATTTGTTTTAGCACTTCATGCACTGTAGCAATAGAAGTACAAAGATTGTTATGGGAGAAAAAAATACTTGTATCATCAGCGTAAATTATCAGCCTTACATCACCGCTTTTGGCCACATGCACAATGTCGTTTATGTATAATTTAAATAGCAATGGGCCTAAATTGCCACCCTGGGGAACACCTGATATTATAGAAAGCCTATCCGAATGAAAATTCGGAAAAGACACGCATTGGTTCCCATTTATTAAGCATGATTTTATGAGAGCGAGTGCTATGCCTCTTATTCCAAAATATGGTAATTTGGAAAGTAAAATATCATGATCGATGGATTCAAAGGCTTTTGAGTAATCAAGAAAGACGCCTAATGTCATTTTTTTTCGTCAAAAGCTTTCACAATTTGTTCTTTCTGGTTTAATAAAGCCAATTCGGTAGATCGATGTTTACGAAAACCGAATTGCGCATCGGAAATTAAAGCATGCTTATCAAGATGTGTTATAAGTCTATTGTGTATTAGTTTTCAAGTGATTTAGAAAAGACAGGAAGGATTGAGATGGGCGTATAGTTATTTATGTCAAGCCTATCACCACCTTTATGTAGAACACTAATTTTTGATACCTTCATTCTTAGGGGAAAACAGCCTGTTTCTAATGCGAGGTTATATATGTATGTTAAATATGGTGCAATAATATTAATGACGTATTTTATAGGTTTTACCTGCATGTTTTCGGCGTCGATGCTTTTGCTGTTTTTAAGATTTATGACGGTCGAGTAGACTTCTGAATCATCCGTGGGGAACAAGAACATTGATTTTGTATACGATACTGGCATGAACTCTAGAACTTTGTTTAGGCAGGGCGATGACACACCAGAAGTACCAACATTTACGAAGAAATTAGTGAAAGCATTTGCCATGTTCACTTCTGTTACTTTAACGGTGTTTATACTTATTTCATGGGGCACGTTTTGAAATGGCTTATGGTTCAGCACTGCTCGTATCCTCTTCCACATAACGTCAGGTTTCTTACGAATAAAGTAGATTATTGTAGTAGTCACGCTTAGCATTTCTTAGTAGACTTGTGAGTTTGTTGCGGTATTTTTTAAAGGTTTCAAGCTTGCTAATCTCTTTGGTTCTTAAAACATTTTGATATAAATTAGTCTTAACCCGTAAGATTGAGAGTAGCTCTGGCGTGACCCAAGGCCTACGTGACTTCTTAGATACTTTGACGTTGACAAAAGGAAAATGTCTACTTTAAATCGCACTAAATGTATCGATGAATAAATTATATGAGGAATTTGCTGATTTTGTTGAAAAAATTAGTTGCCAAGATGTCTTTTCAATTTCTTCTGGAAAACTACGCAATTGGTCAAGGGTGATAGACTGAACTTTAACCACTGGAACCGGGTCACTGCGGTTTTTCTGGGAGTGCTCACTGTACAAGCAAAAATAAATGGGAAGATGATCACTGATATCAGTAGAAAAAACACCTGATGATACCACCGATTCTTCATAGTTAGTGATGAACAAAATGAACAAATCAAGCATTGAAAATGACGTTTTTGTTATTCTTGTAGGAGGTATGATAACATTCGACAACCCATTTGGAGCAATAAGGTTTGAGAAAGATTTTTTGGCCAGAGTTCGAAATCATATCAATGTTGAAGTCACCAGCCGTAATTAATTTGTAATTGTTATCATTGACAATATTGAACGAAGTCTCCGCAAAATTAAAAAAAAAAACGGTATGACTGGAGAATTGGGTGGCCTATATACAACGGAGAGCAGCGAATTTTTGAAACGTACAGTGTGCTCAACTGCTAAATATAACGCGGGAGCGGTGGCCGAAACAGATATCAGCGCATTCTAGCGATTAAACGAATGATGCGGCGGAGAATAAGGCGGCTCTTGCGATTGTCGCCATTCCCCGATACAATTATCACATGCCCCCCTCGTTTCTTTCTTTATCACCCACACTTTAAATTTTACCTGTTTGTTCTGTCTTTTTGCCACTATGTTTAGGGTTTGATTACAACCGCATTCCTGTTAACATCCTTGATAAGTCGGAGTGACCACGGCGAAACGATATCTTCATATTCATCATTCTCAACATATTATTGGCGGAAAGAATGCAAGCGTTAGAGAAATTGACTTTTTTTTACGAAACAGTGACAGTATCATGTTTAGTCTTCCATTTGAGATCTTTTATGCAATAAGGTATACATTTTAGCGCTTCTTTAAACTAGCGTGCGGAAAAACCATAATTCCCGAACCTCTTATACTTCTTCATTACGCAAAAATGTACTACTTTCCACAGCAAGAAACCATAAACACTTATTCAACTAGCATTTATATTTATACAAAGTCCATGGTACCGATTCCTCTTGCCTTTAATGTTGGTCGCGTTGGGACAAACCTTGAAATTTGACAAAACATATTGAAAACATTTCTTACTTCGTTTTTAGCAGGCCGGTTCGGCACATCATTGAAGCAATAAACGAATGAAGAAAAAGACGGGCTTGCCAATAGGAAATGCTATCTCCTGAAGAGACAAATTCTCAAAAGCTTTCTGATAGATGCCCGTGTTAGTAACGTGTCATATTCCCACCAACAGCAATCACTGCCTCCATCCTTCGCGGCATTGATACGTATAGCGATGTGACAAAGTCTGGGTCCCTTCGCAGCCTGTCCCATTCGTCGCGAACTGCCTGCCACAGATCGTCCGAGGTCCAGGCGTCAACGACATGCTGCCTCGCTAGCGATGCTTTAATCAGGCCCCACACATTCTCACATGGATTCATATCCGCCCCTCTCGCAGGCCAATTCAGCGTTCGAGCGCAGCGCTCTTCGAGGAGGAGACAAACTTCTCTTGAAGTGTGTACCGGAGACTAGTCGTGCTGGTAGATGTAGTCCCCATCGGGGAAAGGCCCGTCCAAAGCGTAGGGGATCAAGACGTCGTCGATCAGGCGAGCATATACTTCTCCCGTGAATTGTCCTTCCAGCCTGACGAGAGGGCCAAGTCCATCCCGAGAAATAGCTCCCCATATATTAACAGAGCACCGGCCACTGGAGAGCACTTGCTGAAAGTAGGCAGGATCATACCTAGAAAGAACAAAAAGTGTTAGTAAAACGGGTTCACAAAAAAATCTTATTTCTTGAAAAGTAGCAGGTGTCAATGACACGCTGCCTGGCATGTCCTCCTTCGTCACCCCTTTTTTGTTTTCTACGATACAAACTCCGCGTTCATTCAGCACATTACCTGTGACAGTCCGGTCTCCACACACGTCGTCTTTGGTCGAACCTTGTGCAAAATGTTGACTCGTCACTAAAGATGACGTCTCTCCAATCGTTGACCGTCCACGCCCAATGCTCCTGTGCAAATGTTAGCCGCAGCGCCTGATGACGAGCTGTCAAAAATGGTTTCTGACAAGCCATTCGGCTTGCCAGTCCACTTTCCCGGAGGCGTTGCCTTATCGTGTTTAAGGACACATTAAGGTTCAAGGCTTGTCTGATTTGTTGCGCAGACATGAAAGGGTCATCGACAATCGCTGCAACAATGAGGTGGTCCTCTGCGACCAAGGTTGCTCGTGTGCGGCTTCAGCGAGGTGTATCTTCGACCCTTCTTTCGTCCCGGTATATAGGCTCGAATTATTCTGTTTACGGCCACAAGTGATATGCCCGTCCGTGCTGAAGTGGTTCTTTGGGGCAATCCAGACATCAACATTGCAATAACGCGAAGCCTGTTGTCGTTTTATATTCTCGGGGGCATTTTAAAGCTGAGCAGAGAAACGAAGTTTCCGTTTTACAATAAAAGAGAGGATCAGAAATTTATCCTGTCGAGTGTCATGCGTAGTGGGTTATCAACCAAGCATGTCGTGTATTTAGTCACACCTACGCATTTACCACGCGGGGCTACCATATCTCGGTGATCTTGCAGTTTCTCTGATAAAGGCCACCTTCTTTAAACAAGAAAAACAAAATCGAAGAGCGACTTTTTTTTTTTATCGCCGAGTCACGCATCGGCGATTGTTTCGGAGCTGGGAGTGTAACTCCAGAAAACAACAGCGGCATAAGCTGCCACAGTGAGCCGGTAGATGACGCATGCAGTCTCTCCGGCCAGCGCTCCCGCGTTATGTTTAACAGTTGAGCACACTGTACAGTTACCTCCTAAAAATCAGTATTTTCGCAGAACGATTTTAATATCTCACAATTTCTTTCATTTTTTACCAACATAGCAACACCACCGCCTAGACTATCATTTCCATTTAGGTTGAAATGAGAATATCCCGGAAGCAGAACGTAATCAGCATTACAACTGTACCACGTTTCAGTTAGCATGACGACGTCAATATTCGGTCCAATGCAGTCGAACAAAACAGCGAGGTCATCGTGCATATTTCTTGCAGATCGAACATTTAGGTGAATAATTGTCATTTAAAATGCAGACTCATTCTGAAGTAGATTTTTTAGTTTGAAAGGTGAAATGAAGGATTCAGACATCGTTTCTCAAGAGACAACAACAACAACAAAACAAAAAAAAGAAACACACAAGGAAGCGTGCTAGCTCGCCGTCATCTTGCACACGTCATCAGCACATGTTACTTTCAGAAACGGCGTCTGTTCAGCCTTACGAGCAAATATGCTACCGTTTCGGACCCAGACGAATTTACAGTTGCATTCCTTTTTTTTCTGCGACAGTCACGCCCAGCAGTTTCTTTAGCGCGGGGCACAGGTGCTCGTTCACATAGACAGAGCTACCAGAACTAATGCCAAGGTCTTCGCAAGTGACGCGTCGTTTTTTGGCATGCCCAAGGAAGTTACCTCGCCTGTCCCGGCGTATGAACTGAACAACAATGTTCCTGGCCGTGCTGTTTGGAACGGGCACACGGTGACACCTCGACATCAGTTTGAAGTATGGGTTGTTGTTGTTGTTGTTGTTCACGTTTTGTTTTTATTGATGCCCTCACCACCTTGATCTCAGATCGTTTGTGGGAGGAGATGAGCGATGGGGATGATGTCGGATGCAAATATGTTAAAATAGATGGCGAATGCCTGCCTCCCGAATGAATTTCAGGAGGGACTGAAGCACTGCCTCTCTGTCTGCTTGTTCGCCGTCGGGACTCGTCCATTCTTGGAAGTTTGTAGGACGAAGCTGATGTGGTAGTCCGGGGATGACACTTCGGCGAATACGCTCCGTCGCTGTGCATCCCCAAACAAGGTGCTCCCCCCCCCCCCCCCCCCCCCCCCCCCCCCCCCCCCCCCAGCGTAGCTTGCTGTCCGGACTTACACCGGTCGCACTCCCCTGTGACAACGGGTGGCGGGTCGTCTGGGTGTCCTCGTCGTCTTGCGAGGCCAAACTTATACCGAAGAGCCGGAGTCATGGCGGTGCGGGTTCTAATACGCCGCAGGATTACCCTATCGGCCCGACTGAAGCGTGTCGGTACGGTTCCTTAAGGGTCTGGTGGTATTTGGGCAGCGAGGGTTTCCCTTCGATGCTTAATTTTCAGGGACAGAAATGCGTCTGGGTTGAAGAATAGGACATTATTTTCTCCTTCACGACTGACACCCTGTTGGTCCTGATTTGGAAGCACCGGCCCAGATTCTAGCGCTGCTTTGGCCGGGTTGTGGGCCTCTTCGTTTCCGTGGATGCCGGAATGACCCGGCACCCACCCAACCTGAAGTGTTCGCCCATCGAGTGCGAGGAGCTGAGCGAGTGTCCTCAGCTGGCGGACCGTCGTGTTGTATGAGCTGACGTCCTGACACTCAGCGTAGGCGTCTTTGGAATCGGTGAAGACCCATATAAAATCGAACGGATCCCTGTTTGCATTCTGTTGACGCACGGCCTCACGTGCACCCTCAAGGATTGCCTGTAGTTCCGCTTCCTTCGTACTCATTCTTCATTGATTCGGCGGCTTGATGTGGTCATGGTATTTAATATATGTATTCCAATGCTCGCTTGGTCGTCTTTGCCAATTGCTGCGTCCGTGTAGACGAACAAGTTAGTCGTGTCGACTGTATAGTCTTTGACAAAGACTTCATGTTCCCTAGCCCGATGTTGTCGCCGCGCTTCGTAATCCTTGCCCATGTTCCGGGGCAGTGGGGCGAGGGTGGTGAGCTGGATTGTTGTTTCTTCTAGGCTGAGAAGCGGAATCTGAGGGAGGCTGTCCGTGTCGTAGCCGACGTGGCGGAGGATAGCCCTTCCCGGTTCCGTGGATCTAAGACGATCGAGTTGGGCCGTCTTCAGCATTTCCGCTCGTTCTTTAAGGGTGTTAAGTCTGGAGTGAATATGTAAGTCTTCAATTTTTGTGAATTTCGGAAGCCCACTGACTACGCGCATTACTTCTCGGTTGAGTCGCTCTAGCCGGAGTTCTTGAGTCTGCGTAAGTCGGTTGTAGTTATAGGAGTATAGCACCTTTGAGGCAAGGAGTGCCAGAGTTAGGGCACGTGTCACTCCCTCTGTGGCTCCCCATCTCTTGGTGGCTACTCGGCGAATGAGGTGGAGTGTGTTTTTCCAGGTTTGGACAGTCCTTTTCATCCAAGTCGATGCATTTCCGTTTTCATCAATAAACAAGCCCAGAATACGAATGTTCTTGACCCTCTGGATTTCCTCACCCTTCAACGTCAGTCGGATGTTCTGGGTCTCTGACTGAGCCTGGATCCGCCAGTTCCCTAGAACGATATATT